GCATACACCTTAAGGAGTCCGCCTGCTTTCCACTAACGAAAGTGATTTCCGTTCTTGGATCTTCGGCCTTATCGTGGAATAATCCTTGAAACCGTATCACGGCCCATCCTATTCTACTGAATATGCATGAAATCGAACAAGATGACAACTACTACATGAGTATAAAAAGATTATGCTGCCAATGACTGCATAATTAATGTTTTCACCAATGATGTTTCCACCATGTTGATATTGTGCACATAGCGAAAGCATACTGTAAATGTAATTATAGAAGATAATCCTTCGAGCGAGGGCTTTGGCAAAAGAAACACACAATGCAAATTTCGTACTAACAAAATTTCTACACAGGGATGGAAAACAGCTTCAAACTTCACATTCAGATAGGCCCGGGTTAAATACGCACGCCAGACCCACGAGCTCCTTATGCAAAGAGCAACTGATGCTATCATAATTTATGTATTAGCAAACTATGACTTGAGCTCCTTCTTCATAAAGTGTAGCAATCTCTTTTCCAAAACCTCATGATCACAATTAGCCAGTTCCAGCATGGAATTGAGATAGGGGAATACTAACACCTTCCCCCCCCCTCCAACCCGCACACAAAGACGACCTGTCTAGAGGATTATGTCGCAAGAACTGCGTTAAATCCCTAGCAATGGAAACGTACCGATTTGCAAGGCGATTTGTACCGTTTTATTACAGATTCCAACCTAACTTTTCTGCTCTTCGCACATAGAAGCGGCACATTGGCGAGCCCACATTACTTCAAATTTATTAGCGTTTTCTGCAGCCCATCGGTTACCATAAAAAGGAGATGTCATCAGGGTCATCCGTGACGTGTGGCTAGTTTATTTCATATGATCAGCTGTACGCCAGCCTACTGCAAAAAAATTCTGAATTTTCCCACATTCCCTAGGAAATCTCCCGCCCTTTTGAGAAAATCTTTACTACATGTCCTCCCAAGACAGGCGCTATTTTGACAACTACAACTCCACCATAAAATCATGAAGTTCTACAGCTTTTTCCGATTCGACCGAGCGGAAGTTTGACCATGGCTGGTATTGCAGTTCTTATCTCATCCAAAGGGGAGAGGAATCGTCATTATTAGGTGTTAACTTCTTTCAGTAGGTAACTTATTAAATAATGAAGTAGTTGTCTGAAGTCAGCGGTAAGCTGGCAAAGAGCAGAAGTCGCGGCGAGAAACAAATCGCCTTACCCAAAGGTATAGCAACCAAGGTCAAATATCCCAAAGAGAAACACCCCAGGTGGGGTGGGACAAATAAATTTTTTAAGTGAGCAAATTTGAGTCATTCGAATGCTCTCTATTGCAAAACAGAGCTGAAGGAACAAACGAAAATTCAATGAATGCGAACAGACGTCACAAGAAGCTTGGAGCAGCAAAGTTCGACTTTGATGCTGAGGATCACCATTGACTGCTAATGATAAGCGAAAACAAGAGCAACAACAGAGGCTTGAGCTTATGGCGAAAATCGGAACCCAGAGCAAAGAAGGAAAACTGCAAAATTCCGTCCATCCTTGACAACTGCATTGCAAATTAATAAATCCTAATGATAACCGGGAGAGTCATGAATAGTTAATATTGACTTCAATGAGGCAGGTGGTAACGAAATGAGAACAGCTCTCAGCTAAGAGGTTTTTGGGAAAGACAAGACCGTCAAACGAAAAATGGCGAAAAAATACAGAAAGACCTGTCGTGGAACTAAAGTGACCCTAATTGCTCTAGAACTCAAAGGACTTACACTACTAAATCTTTGTGGAGCTCCACATTTGTCGGCATCACTAATTCGCCATGAGCAATGTTGTCAAAAAGACGCATTATAACCTGTAAAAAACGCTTTGTCTTATATACGCATAACTTTCGAATAGACAAGCCAGACACTATCAACGGTAGCTTGATAGCGTCTAGCTATCAGCCTTCCTTCATAGCACGCACTTACCGCTCCTTCGAAGGGATATAATCCTGAGATCATATTGTACAGCGTAACACCACAAGACCACAAATCCGAAGCGAATCCGCTGAAAAGTACTGTATTATATCGCTGCAAATAAAACAAAAGTGGTGACACAGCCACTCACACGGCTCCACCTACCTGTAACATTCGGTATTTCCCGAGACCAGCTCGGGAGCTTGGAATTTCGGAGTGCCTTGCACCACTTGACACGAATCGTCTTTCTAAAAACATGAAGGATAAAAGTTGGAACAACGAAAAACACTGGCTAATTAAGAGACTGAATATGATTTTCATTAAAAAATTCGCAAAATACGAAAAATGCTCCTGAAAATTCTCCCGAAGATACTCCGGTACATAGCACTCTTTCGCATCATTTACGTTTGAGTCGCCAAATGGAATTGGAAAAGACAAAAAAGGCCATACAAACCTGGTATAACGACAACTCCTCAGCAACTCCAAAATCGGATATCTTCAGTGTGTAATCTAACGATATTAAGAGATTAGCCGGTTTGATATCCTTATGAACAATCCCGACAGAGTGGAGATATTCGAGGCTGCAAAGCTTTATTTCCGAAAAAAAATTGGTGGAAGATGATGTTTGCTAGCAAAACCAATAAATTTATGGTATAACACGCTTCGAGGCCACCCACACAAAGTTCTTATGCTCATTTTTTCTGCTCTAAACATCCCTCCCTGTCTAAGATCAAATAAATTACTGACTCATTAAGACTCACCCCTTTATCAAGTCGACGAAATACCGGTGAGTATCCGCGTCACAGAGCCTGTTCTCATACGACGTGTCGAGGAGCTGCTGAACAGAACCCATGCAGAATTCCATCACCACATAGAGTTTGTTCTTGTTTTCCCGCCGGAACACCTGAACAAAATTATTCATTCTGAGTCGGTGAAAGAATTGCTCTGGAATATACGATAACATCGCCCCTAAAAACCGAAAAATGAGGATAGGCGTAAAGTAGTGCCCAATTGCGCAGCCTAGAACATGTGCGGTCCAAAAACCAAACGGTACAAGAGTGGTCATGGGAGGTAAGACTCGCATTGCACGTCGGCAGTCCCATCCTGTGCCTAAAGTCCAAAGGGTAGAATCAAATGGACTAAACATCGCCGATTAACAGTACTATGAATACTCCAGATAGTTGAATAGCCTAACAAGGCAGGGATAGCCGAGTGGTTAAGAGGTTAGACTCATGTCTGCACCTCTGAAAAACCGCGAGTTCGATCCCTGCCGAGGCTCTAAACCATGCCTTGCAAAAATTGCAAAAATGGTTCTAGTACCAGCGTCAGGCCCAGGTTGACAGGCCGGCTGATGAAGACCCCCGTCACACCAAATATGCCCAAAGTCGAAAGAGGAATCAGTAGAATAACCTAACAGGATTCACCTCTATCAACCGAATGACATTCTCATGCTTAACCCTATTGAGAATCCTCAGTTCTCGTTCCACATTCTCTTGGCCGTTCTGAATCTTTCGCAACCGATTGTGCTTGATTATCTTCACGGCGCGTCGAACTAATGTCGTTTCGTCAACGACTTCCTGAAAATGGCAACCTTAGGTTGACAACCGATATTCCCTTTTTAAGTGCTATTGCACATACACATGACCAATATGCTTACCTTAACTTTTGCATACGACCCTTCTCCAATTTTTGCACCAAAGAGGTAGCCATTGTGAGATTTTGGACCTTTTTCAGAGAAAACCTCTTCAACAAACTGAAAACAAATACAACAACTTCAAGAACCTTCAGATTTCAGGCCCAGACTTGACTATTGATCGCAGAATCACATGTTCGATACGTATCACTTCACCCTCCAAATTGCAAAGTACCATCCAATCTTAAATTTGTTATTCGAAGGGCGGAAATATGCCCAAAAGAGGATATTCAGCCCACAAAATTCCAATTAAGCACAACGCCCTCATTAATATCAGTCTACACTTTCCTCACGGGAAGTATCCCAAGGAAAAAGCCATCGATGCTTGGAAAATAAATTACGATTTCTGTTCAAAAATGACCATAGGGTGGTAAAGAAAACCAGTCAGTGAAACTGAAGTAATTAAAAATTCGAGAGATAAAAACAACAAAAAAAAATAAAAATTCGTAAATAAACCGCAGAGAACATTTAGGAAAAGCACTTACCGATCCTTCATTGAGTGGTGTAAATAACAATCCTTGCCCTGCGATAATAGACTGCACTCGTTCAACAGACAAAACGCCATCTGGATCCACAGCCGCAAACTGAAGAAAATTCGATTCTAGACTCCTACTTCATTCAAAATACAGTAGAGGTTCATTTGAAATATAGAATTCGTCGCTACTCACTATCTATGCATGCTAAACACGGATCGATCCCACTCGGGGCAGCTCCATGCGCTTGAAATTGGCCGCTGAACCAATACGGCCAAATGAGACGACTAAAGGCCACCCCAACTGCATTTTCAGCGAAAAATGAAAGCGCCAGGGATCGCACCCAACATTGATTTCAACTAATTGCATGCTCACGTCATCACTTTCGTACAAATAAAATTCAAAATTATGTGCATCGCTGAGAGGAACCGTAGAACGCCTACACATTTGTGTGCGTTGTGCGTTCTATCTCAATACTTGAAAATGAAGAAAGAATTGAAAAAAGCCGGATGAAAACCCGACAATTTCCATACCAATGACAAAAATAATGCCATCAAAGGTTAAAGGGTGAGATGAAAGCGACAAGTTGCAAACGACTGCGCTGCCCTGAGAAAGACGCTTAGAAAAGCAAATTGAAAATTTTAATAAAAAACGCATAAGTGTAAATCCATGGATATTTTTGGTGCTTCATTTGAGCTCACTCATTTCTATAACTGCATTACTTCTTTTACCGAGTCTAACCCAGGAATCGATTTCATCACGCAAGCATGCAATTCCAACAGAAATGAAAAACCAAAAGTGTTCGCTCATGACAAACTCATACGCTCACAACCCCCCCCCTTTCTTCACTTTCGCAATCTTTTTGCAATGTGAGCATCTTATCCTCAAACCAAAGCTGGATTACGAAAGAGTGTACTGAAGAGATTAATGTAATAAAAAGAAAGGCACTGCAAAAGAGGAGAGAAGGGAAAATTGAAAGAAAGAGCACAGCAAAAGCTTGCAAATCAGGAGATCAGCAGTGATTTTCCTCTTCTTCTTTCTTTCCTGGCTAGCAATGTGAAGAAACTACGCAAGGAAGAAAGCAAGTGTTCAGAATAAACATGGATTCAGAAGGTTAAATTTCAAATTAGCAGAGGAAAAGAAATTAATTTTTCCCTTCGCCTAATTTCTTTTTCAACTCCATCCGGAAACCACAGTTAGAACGCGTATTTACATCCTCCTTGAGTGAAGTTCAGAGGAACTAGCAACTGTGGAACAATGACAGGTTTCATTTTCTACTTCTGCTTTATAATTATCCCGAGATTAATGGGGAGTCGCTCATGGACTATTCTTGCAGATGACATGTTTCATTATGTAGCAAAGGTCCTTGTAAAGCGTGTGGTAAGAGGAATTGCGAGATAATGAACTGGGATACGCAGAAAGCAAAGAGAGTGCTAGAAGAGAGCAGAGCCGGCCAAAACAAGGATCCTCTGGGATACAAGAGCTGTTTTTCACTTGAGAAAGACTAAAGGTCATTGGTGACATCAATGATGATTCTGGCAGAGTAAGAAGAGAATTTAGTTGGAGAAATCCGGAAAATTTCAGTAAATCTGGTGGCAAAAAGGAGCGATGGAGGATAAATTTTCATGAATTCAGGAACATTTTGAAGTTTCTCCGGCGTTGGTGTTGCCGGGTGGGGTATCGCTGTGCTGACCCAACCTAGGAGGAGGGGAGTATCTTCGGAAAATGGAAACTGCTACATGCTTGACATGCTCCTGTGAGGAACGTTAGGTATAGCTGACTCCATTTGAGTGTAAAAGTAGTGTGCAAGATGGCGAGCTGGCTAAAAAATCCAGAGGAAAGCCAAACCCGAGAAACGGTACGGTACCCTCATTTCGCCCGTTTAGGGAATCTTCCCGGAAAAATCTTGCAGTCTTCCAACACGCCTATGTCAGTTGTGATCATTAGAGACAACATACAAAGTTTCACGCACAAAGACTAAATTCACGAAAACCATACTCCATGTACAGCTGGTCGTAGTAGCGTGGAGCCAAAGCGGACGGTTAGGAAAAAGTCTTGCCTTGTTGGGGCGGCTGCGTATCAGGCGAGTCAATGAAAGAATGGGGTGAAAGCGTGCGATTTTGGAAATTAGAGACAAATCGATCGAAGGAATGGGATGCAGTATAAGAGAGAGATGTTAATGTGATAAACCAAAAGGCCAGAACGAGTTCCTAGTGATGGCACTCCGAAAACAAGGTAAAGCTTCCGTCACCAGGCATGTGTTTAAAAAATGTCCGGCGATTCTTTGAACGCGTCGCAGCCCTTTCAGTTTTTCGAATTTTTTTTTATCAGAACAAATGCAATTTTGTTCTTTTCATACTTATCGTAAGCGATGGGTCCCAAGCCGCTGAACTGACGAGAAAAGTAAGATAGGAACGATTCAAAGGGAATCCTGCTCGATCACGATTTGTTCGAGCAGGATTCCTTTAATTTCGAACGTATGTGAATTTACGGCAACATGAGGATCGTCCGGATGAAGTTACACTGGCGTTATGCCAAACGAGGGATCTGATAAGCGACTAGCTTAATTGGGCGGCTATGCAACAGTGCAGTCAGAAAAAAAAAACAGATGGCAGCACGACAGGAGTCGTAGGAAGGTACCACTGTTAAGGGAGGAATCGTGTTGAGCGCTAAATCTCCTCGACCTGTGGTTTGTGATAAAAATATCACACCCTGAACACAGCCATGGAAAGACTGCTCACTTTAAATTTCTTTTTATGGACCACGATTTCTTCAAAACCCTTCCCTCTTTGAAAATTGGTAGAGAAAATTTTAGGGAAGTGACTAATTATCATAGCAAAACGACTGTTGAAGCAAATAACGTGAAAAAAGACACTTCTAGAGTCAGCAAACTTGTTTTGTTTTTGGCATGTAACAAACAAGTAATGTTCTTGGATTTCTTAATGAACTTCTATTTTTCCTTTCTCATACTATCCCTTCGAAGATTTGTGAGCGAAAATCTTTAGAACATAGCAATCAATGGCACTTCAATAGAATGTTCCCTTGCAAGGTACATCATATTAGTTACTGTCACAGTGCCAACATCAAGAGCAATTACCTCTTCGGATTCCGGCCCATGGAGATGCCACATATGAATGCTGTGTCTAAGGTCATTGTAGTCGTCATCCTCCTCTGGTGAATCTTCACCTCCTACCGAAAGCTTCTGAAATATTACCATAACAATGGATCATATTGGAGGAAAAGGGCAAGACTAATCGTTTTTAAAGTTTGATTTGAATTTCTACCTCAAATGAATTCCTTACTTTGTGAAAATATTTGTAACAATATGTAACTCATTTTTTATACCCTCAGGTGAGAGCTAGGGTGTATCAACTAGCCCTTCTTATGAACATGCTATTCACACTCCATCTAATGAATTACATCATATGACAGGTGACATCATATTTCAGCTTCAATTCTATTAACGCGTAACAAAAGAGATCTAAGAATACATCCTTGCTTAGAAAATTACCTTTTTTGAGAAGGCGTACTCATTCAAGAGCGCAGTACTCAGGTCTATGAGGCCAGTTAAGCTATGGACCTACGATTCCCTTCAGTCCTACTCCTTACTGAGCCTACCCTATACTCCTGGTTTCGTACTACTTGAATTTTTCTCCATGTTATCTGTCGCGAAAAGCTAATGCGCAGACGGGTAGAGGATAGTTGTCGTTCCAGTTTCGACCATTGCTAACAAAAGGATCCAAAGCTAGAGTGAGTGACAAGAGTCAGAGTGATCATGATGCCTATCTAGGCGAGAGTGCGCTGACGAGGGCAGAATATTAACGCTTTTTGGAGAACCGAGTTCAGGTAGCTCGTAGATAAATAAATAGCTTTTTGGACAACCGAGTTCAGGTAGCTCGACACCTTCTACACCAATTTGGCGTATCAGTCAGTGTAGGGATCTAAGAAAACATTGTTCTGGTTGGTGGATGCAGCTACGTGAGATGCCTGCAATCTTCAGGTTAATTTTGACAGCTATGGTGTTTTGTTGTCATCCCCCTTCACCTCATTGAAGACTAGGATTCCCCGGAAATTTCCTACGTCCCTGCTTCGCACTACCAATGGCATTGTTTTCTCGCTTTTTTGTTGAAATGCGTCTTTCTGACAACCGCGGGCGAATTATGACGTAAGTGTGCTTTGCTCTTATCGATATCAATGCTTTTGTATGGAATGAACTTTTTTTTACAAACATTTGTCACATGAATAGCGTAATAGAAGCATAAGAAAGATACGAAATTAGCCTCCAAGCGACAGTTGTTCAAAAATCTGTGGAAAGAGGGAAAAAAGCTCTTTGGACAACAATGGACAATCTCCATGAACACTAGCTAATCACTATTAGAGAAGATAAACAGTCTAATTATCTAACAGCATTGCTCCAAAACATGTTTTTGATTCTCTATCCACATCCATTCTCAAATAGCACGGTTTCACTGCATAAAAAAAAGCCCAAATTTTAAGATGACTTCATTTTACAGAAATTTCATTCTTTTTCAGGACAGTAGATAAAAATGAGCGTATAAGCTCTCTATAAATTTCATCCCTGCTAAAATTCCTTTCACAAAGTATGACCGTGGCGAAATTCTGCATTGGGCTTTAGCACTAGTAATGCATCGATGCTCAAATGCAGGTTGTCCAATTGAACTCCCACAGCAGGTAAGTAGGAAATAACGAAAAAAGATGGCACAAATTTGCAAGTTTTCCTCAAATTTGATGCATGAGGTCCATTACGCAAAGGAAATATGTCCAACGTCTAAGAAATTTTCGCTCAGGAGATCCCCATAGAAAGGAAATCCTCCAGAAAATATATATCAAAGCCATCCCATGATTTTGACAAGCTTAAGAAAATAAATGGACCTACAGGACGAGCCGTTTAAATCTGGACTCTAATGAAAACAATAGCTTCTATGCTGTCAAAAATGACTAACAGAGTAGAACACCCATAAAAAAGAAAAAGAGTATGTAAAAATATTTAAAATGGAGCAACACCATACTTAACTGAGTACGTGAATAATCATTGACCTATTGCGTAATAAAGATACCAGTCCACCGGAGTATTCGAAAAAAAAAACAAAGAATAGGAAGGCATACGTCAAAACGGTACACGTACCAGCTGATTTGATGAGCCTTGCGGCAGTGGCTGAAGTCCTCTCTTCCATTTCATTTTCTGACTCAATAGTATTGAGACGGATGATGACGCGAGCATCACCTTGTGGACACTTTCTTCGAGGACATCATCAGGCTTTTGCAGCCTAAAAAAGCAATTTGTAATTTTGAATGAGAAATAATTAGAGGTGATTATAGCTGAAAAGAAATAAACAGATTATATAGAACTGCATTGGGTCGGCAAAGATATTTATTTTACATTTACTTGCGTTCTATTCGGATTAGCAGCAGCTCTAGGATTTCAGAGTCTAAGAGACTATACGAAACGTTGCTTAGCGCTAATTTTAATTCAGATCGTAACATCTATTTTGATGGTTCAAAATTATCGTTAAAATCTTAACTATAAAGGATAAAGGATAAAGCATTTGCCGTTGATCAATCCCTTTTTGGGATGCGGCACGCATTCTACTTCCATTTGTACATTCGTAGTGGCGTTTGAATGCGATGTGGCCTATACAATGACTTGCGGGGGCCAGCCGATGTACAAGTCAGTGTTTTTATCCTCCCAGACAAGTCTGGTACCAATTAACCGACCCCGGAGGGATGGAAGGCTTGGTTGGCCCGGGCGACTCACGACCCAGGATTTGATCCCGGACCGCTCGCGTGGTAAGCGCGCCACTTGTCACTACACCACTTCCGCCTCCTTTCATTTTACAGCATAAGAATGGCTAACTTGACTACAAGGAATTTGCGTTGAGCTGGGCTGTGGGCAAAACACTTCGGGGCTTCCAGGCGGAAATCAAACTAGCACCTCTCGCCTTCGTGGCGGTTCTGCTATCGACTACACCACCGAGGCGAGTTTCAATTCGGTATTGAAGTGCCTAACTATCAGCGCTCACACGCATAACGTAATGAGCCGGTAACTCGACATCTGCAATGAAGCGCGAACGCTGAAAGCTCTAGGGCATGTTGATTGTGCGACATTTTTGTTGATAACTGCTATTTTTGGTCGCGCAGGTTGCGAAAGTTATCACAAGGTAGATGGGTTGAAAAACAATCTATATCATAGGTTCTAGCCATACGCATCAAAGAACACCTGGCCTAGCATGCTGCGCGATATTCGTTCTGCAGCTCCTGGAAGACATGTTTGAGAAGAGCAGCGGTGTTGAATTCGAAATAAAGTGCATGTGTCGGTGGGCTCCTGACAAAATGTCGTAACCGGTAGAAAAGATAAGGCGCTCCGGTGGACCAGAGCGTAAATATTAACTTTGAACAGCGTTTAGACTCAGAAGACGATCTCTGTCGAAACGTTAGGCCCCATCCAATAAATGTCCCACCTATCAAATTAGAACGGGCACAATGACTGACACAAGCTATATCGCAGTTGTAGGAAGCAAAACATACTGGCTTAAGCACTGGCAGGCATTCGCATGTCATTATGTGGACCGATGCGCGCTTAGCTGTACCTTCTTAGCGGAAACTAAAGCGCGGCGCATCTCAGTTTGCCAAAGCACAAAAACTTAGTCGCAGTCTTACGCCTAGAGATTTTCTGGTTCTTTGGAATTCAATTTTTTAGATATAAATTGTTCTATCCTTGTGATTACGTTCAAATGGCCTGACAACAATAATGGAACTCTTTAACAGAAAAACTGTCTTAAGACCTGAATTTGTGAATTCCAGGAATTGTGGACTGGGTTTTTTCACTGTCACGATACCATGTGCTATTTCATTCCCAATCACAACCTGTTTTCCACTTGAAAACACAGTACCGCCGACATTCGAGGCACGAATCACGCTTTCATAACAGATGAACTACATAAGCCAAAATTAGCAATTGTTATACTATGAAATTACTTTTCAATAAGGCTCAAATTTACATCACTACAAAATCAGTGAAATGACATTACTAACTGAAAACTATATAGTAAATCTTTATATCCCACCCTTAATTCCTATTTAATCACTTTTCTTTCCTTTCGATTCATCAACTTATCTGTTTCGTTGGTTTTCTCCTGTTATTCTTAGTTCGACAGCTTTTTTTGAAATTGACTTCATAGCATTTCTTTTTGCTGGTGCCTAGGAAACCAAAAATGGATTAGGACCACATTGCGAAGCCACACATAGTGGGCGTGGAGATACCTTCAAGCTCACAAATCGCTGGAAATCGTGAGTTTCGGACCCATGCCATAGATTGCGTCCGACAACAACGATCGGAACGGTCACAGGTTAGACATTGTATCGATCGGCAAATACCTCAGGTATGAACAATTCGATAACATCTAACGCTGTGACCTAACTTACGATCCTTTGCTGTCGACACCTGACTATGTACAGTCGATATCTCGAAGTCTGATTGGGCGTGTCACCGGAAATGACGTGGCAGCCACCGCACTTGATAGATGTTGTGTGGATAAAATACTCCGCCAGATATCAGCAAAGCGTGTTGGAAGCAGCTTATCCGCGCAACTTCTATCAAGTGCGGTGGCTGCCACGTCATTTCCGGTGACACGCCCAATCAGACTTCGATATCGACTGTATGCGTCCTTATGACCGCCACCTTAGTGAACAACAAATGATTATGAGCTTGCTGGTAAATTCCTTGCAATTAATAGAATCTGCGACTAGGATCCGAAGCGCACTAATCCTGTACTCCGACCAATCGGTGTCGAGTGAGCAGCTGGACTTCAAAGGCCACATTTAAAAATAACACGCTCATTATCACGCATTCTGGGCCTCGTTTTGAAGGTAACTCATTCCGATGATGGGAATATAGACATAGAAGTATCTGAAACTTCGAAAAAAAAAAAAAAACCAAAAAGACTATTTAGGTCAAATAAACGAAGCGAATGAGGGAAGAAACAATAGCACGCCAAACACGATAATTGAGGCAGTTTCACACTCAATAAAGGCCTCTGACTGACAATAAGCGTATTCGCAAATCCTACGCGGAATCAGCTATTAACAATACACTAGGCCACTTTCATACTTTGCACCTGGGCGGATAGATGGAAAGCGCCAATGCAGAGTTCTAGCGCACAATGGTTGACACGCATTCAGAGATGCCTCTGCAACTGAAGACACTAGCCTCTCCAAACATGTGCACTTTACGCATTATGCCCAAATGTACGAATCATGGAAGTAACCGTATAATTCCGAAAGTATTTGTCATATACTATTACTGCCTCTACAAATGCAGAACGTAACATTTGAAAAAAAATGAAATGAATAACAAAAAAACAGCTGATTAACGTTTGCTCGTACTGAAACATTGAACTCACGTCGATTGCTGGGGCTAAAACCCCCATATCCATCACATACAATGTGACCACTGAAGGAAACCCGTGTCTGAAAATATATAAAACACATGCGTTCGCCCAAACAAAAACAAGAACCTTTGAAGCCAGTGAAGAAAACTCACAATCACCCGTGTCAGTTCTTTGGCCGTCAATCTAATTTGCTAACGTTCACATGAAAATCGAGCTGAATCTTAAAATACGAGATTAAAATTTGAAGAAATTGAAGAAAACTCAAGATATAGGAAAACACAACAAAGTACTAAATGGTACTCTACCAATACAGTTGTTTAATCCAAGTAAAAAATAGCTTCATTTGATGAAATTCGTAAGTCTAGAACCGAAGAAAAGTGAATCGTAAACAAATTACACGATCATGAAAGTCTAAAAGATACATACAAAATTGTTCTAAAAGGTCGAATATCGCTACGAAGAGAAATGCGAAAATACCGGTAAATTAGCATCCCATCAAAAAGATAGTTTCGGATAAATAGATTTTCATCTACAAATGGAACAAATAAAGTAATACATTAGCACCTAAACGGCTTCTGAAAATTTTTGGAATAACGTGGAACAAAGTAAAGGGAAAAAACCTACAACCCCCCTATGAATCCCTTTCGCAGAAAAAAATAAACGTTAAGAAAAAACAACCCAAGAAATGAAAGTTTCCCGAACAGCTGTAACTGAAAAAAACAGAAAAAGTCAGAATCACAACAAACAGTACTTGTTTACCATGCAATAGTTTCATATTTAACAAGTTCAATATCTAAAAGAATACTTTCAGTCCAGTTCAATATCCATTTGGCCGTCTGGAAGCAGAGGTACATCGCTGGATGGAACCTGCAACAATGGCTGTGGAATTTTAGCACTTTTAACGAAGTTATTTCAAGGACGAAAAGAAAGAATGGGAAAAATAGAAAAAATATTGAAAAATGATTTGTTTCCGCTGCGAAATTGAGCACATCAACGAAAACTCGCTTAGCGCGTGTTTCGATATCGTCTTTATATCTTCTCAAAATCGTCATGACTTCATTAATAGAATTACTCTTAACGAATACACTGCTTTCACAAACGCGATTAATGCTACGGAACAGTTTTTGATACATCAAAGACGCTAGATAAATCGATCATAACGATTTTCATCCGTGTAAAACTGTGAAGCTCATGCGCAACATGTTGTCGTCAATATGCTAAGGCCACTGCAATACTCTGCGAAACTAAAAATTCGGTCGCAGTGCCTGCAACAGTCATCACAATTCCATATGAGTAAAACCGTCACAGCTAGTTCAGAGCAGAAGCCTCACAATAAGGGGACACACCCCTACGCCCCTCTCCACCGCCCGCACCCCCGCGTGAGCGTACACGCTAGTATATGTAGCCAAAAAATACTTGCTTTTTGTGTTTTTACCTCTACCGGCTAGGTTGTTTAGGTAGCTACAATTAATGAATGGACTTGGAACCTACTTTGCTTTTGTATTAACTGCAAAGCAGTAGTCAAAAAGAGTCACAAGGTAACCACCTTTGACACTTCAATCTCCCTACAACAAACTGCTCCCCTCATTGCGCGGGGCGTAACTGATCCATCAGCGCTGACTCTTCGGAGATTGTTTCAAAGCTATAAAAAAAGGCCTAAGAATTACAGCGATTACTAGTACTCCCAAAATTCGGGGATTTTCGAAAAATTGGAGAAAAAAGGGATAAAACTTCCAAATATATGTTCTTTATCAGAAAGACAACTACACATTGGCGATCAATCCGAACATGCGACCCAGGGTTGAATGTCTCGCATACTCGGAATCAGGAGTCGCCGTTTTGAACCCTAGTTGTAGGCGCATCTGATCAAATCCGTGGTTATATGTATGTCAAAGAGAGGACATTAAAAACAATCAAGGGAAATAGAAATCATCCTTTATACTCTAGAATTGGGGAATTATAGAAAACATTTCTCTCCTGAAGTGCGTAAACCAATTTCCTGTCGAAAGAGGAAGTAAATGCTTAGTGACATACAGTACTTTTACTGCTCATGTCTATCATGAATGAAGCGAAACTCCATCTCATTCAGTAGCACTCAGTAGAGAATAAGCCAAACATGAATACCTCTATTTCTCCTTCAATCCAATCACTGTCAGCTGGATACATCTCGGGCATTTCTTCTTCTAACGTTGGAGGTCCGGCATCATAATATTCAGGAGCCTGAAACTTATACAGTCCTTACACAACTCAATGAAACATACATACAAACAGTAATACGCACAAAACTGCAAAATGTGGAAGTAGTCATGGCCAACGACCAATCGATGACAGAATAACAACCGGGTACACCGTTCGGTGAGGTCGTAAACGGTGGAGCGCTTGCCTCCGGAACAAGGAGATGAGGGAGGTGGAAGGGGCAGAGACAGTGAAAACCAAGGTCAGCAACATCATAAACAATTTTTACTGTAGAAAACATATTTCAGGGAGGAGCACTGGTATGCAGAGATACTGTTCCAGACGGACTATCGAAAATGAGAAGGACTTGCAGGGCTAAGTCAATTAGCTCACATTTGCCCCGCCTAATATGATCACGAGACTGATCTCTAACCGAAGTCACGGAAGCATAATAGAAAACTAATATTCGTTTCAGTTCTTGTGTTCAGATGCCAAATTTCCAAGGACACGGGTGATAACGGGGCCGAACCATGTGACGATCGCAGGACAACAACCACGTAGATAAAAAACAACGCCTTGTGAGCGTAAGGCCACTAATCAATTTTACGGTAGTAAATACCCTTCAAAAGGACTGAGTGATCCATTACCAGCTGGGGTGATGAAAAGGAAAAAAACATGCGCTCATGAAAATGACAAAGAACAAAAAAAGGAGGAATCGTTCCGCCTAGTCAACGTTTTTATTATAAAACATAACCCCCATTCTGGTCCGAACTCGCTAATCATCCATGAACACGACAATACCACAACTATGGCACCAATTCAAAGTTCTAATCTATATAAGGTCCTGTTGGTGTGTTCTATACAACGAAGGGCCGTATCCTCTCCTTCTCCTAGGCTAGGGGGACAAAAAATCCCTTTGAAAATTCTTTTTCTTCCCCCAACAAAAATTGCTATTAGAAACTGCATATTCGTAATATACAAGTGTGTCAAAGCGAGCAAGTGCGGAAAGTAAGGAAACAGAGTCATTGAAACCGATGACCTTAAAGGACTCTTTCTCTCACCTAGAAAGGGGGGGGGGGGAGGAGAAGAGGACACGGCCCCAACAGGACCTTATAAAATTTTGAGGGCGACATTGAAAGTACTCCCAAAACTTTACAATATGCTATGACATTCCACAGCAAATTCCCACTGCCACATGGCATTTAATAACTTCTCACAGCATGCGATCTCACCTGATGAATGACTCGGCGCGGGACAGTGGCCTTGGGGATACTGGGACGAAGTTTGATTGGCTCCTTGATAAAGCCCTCGCCAGCGTTTGTGGGAAGACTTGGACGTAAGGAAGTTGCGGGAGCACTCGAACGTAGTTTGATTGGTTCCTTCATGAAGTCCTCGTCAATCACTTTCGGCACGCAACAGTGGCGGTGAATCACGCGTTTCCACCACTTTCACGGGTACTAACGTATTCCCTGCCATTATTGTTGCGCCAGGAGGGCGTCCTTTGACAAACTGCACTCTTCTCATCGGTCCATTCTGCGATATCCGTAGCCTGCAAGGCCATTGGCTACGCTGTTTTCAAAATATCAAAACTTAGGAATAGTCTCGGGCGAATTTGAAAAACAGCGATCAAATGAGAAAAATCATCTATGAATTGAAAAAATAAACAAACTTAACAAAGTAGCATACCATACTCGTCATCCACCAAAAAAATGTTCAGCTCGTTGTCGGGAAAGGAAAATGGAATACGATCCGGTCGACCAACATATCTGAAAAGAGGAAACGATATTAGGAAAGCGCTCTTGCCATTAGTTCTCATCGCAGTGTTAGGCTTATTCAT